GAGAGAGAGAGAGAGAGAGAGAGAGAGAGAGAGAGAGAGAGAGAGAGTATCCAGAGGCCAGAAGGGGGTATTCAGTCCCCTGAATCTGGAGTGACAGGTGTTTTTGAGGTGTTGGGTTCTGAACTCTGGTCCTCTGATGGACAGCCGAGCTATATCTCCAGCTTCCTTTTGATTTTTGAGACAGGGTCTCATGTAGTCTAAGCTGGCCTAAAACTCAGCAGAGGCTGGCCTTGAATTCTTGATCCTCTTGCCTCTCCTTTCTGAGTGCTGAGATTACAGGTATGTACCACCATGTCTTTTCTTCACTGGCTCTCAGAGGAACCTTCTATAGCCACAGGCCGCTGACTGCTCAGAACCATTCCAAGCTCCCATGTCCTTCCGACCTGTTACCAAACACATCCCTGTGGCTTGCTTCCAATCTGGCCATAATTTACTTTCCTTTATCCATTACATTTGTCTTGGGTCTTCCTGATGCCTCCAGAGGCCCAGGTCCTATCTCTGGGCCTTTGTATGTTGCTGGAGCCTATACCAGGAATGTTCTAGAATGTTCTTGGCTCCTATAGGTTCTTACTCAGAACTGGGAAGGCTCCAATCACACCTAAGACTTCAGAAACCTCCTGTTTTATGTCTTATTCCTTGGCACTGCCACCAGATGATGGACTCTTGGCATCATTTTTTTTTTTTTTTTACAGTCTCAGTTTGTTTCTCAGGCTACCCCACTGTCCCCACCCTCCTCCCCTTCCCTAGGGCCAGGATTGGTCTCAGCTTATGGGAAAAAGGATGACTAAGGCAATGAATTTTCAGGAAAGCCTTGCAAGGTGGATGGTAATTTCCACACCAGGGAGGGAGTGTAGGTGTTGAGATTTCTGCTAACATGTCTGAACTTACCCATCAGGTAAGACTTGGACAGGGCATGTAAACTCAGGTGTGAGAGGTACTAGCCCAGTTCACTCTCTGCTACATTGGCCGCCCAGAAAGCACATTCTTTCAGGCCTCTGGGAAGATGGAGGGTCAACAGCCACAGTACAGACCCTCTGACCCTGCCTCCCTGGCTCTTCCCCAAGGCCTACATGGCTGTCATGGCCAAGAACTCTCCAAAAATCACCACAGGGTTCAGTGGACACTACCATATACCTCCTGTGAGCTGGCCTATGCTCTCTGCACATACAGGTGACACATGCATCAGATCTATAAGGTGTATATTGATTGTTATTATGTACCCTGTACCAGGGGAGAAACTGAGGCACAGAAGGGTGAACACAAGGGCCGTACTGTTACTGACTAGCAGAGGCAGGCTTTGAGCCCAGGCAGCCTGAACCCAAGGTCAGATCTTACTGCCCAGGAAACAAATCTCTTTTGTTCATATCTTTGTGTGGGGATAGCATGTGTGTGAGTGTGTGTGGGGGGGCAGCCAGATGTTGACACGGTTGTGTGTGGAGAAGCAGCTAGATGTTGACACGGTTGTCCACATTTTTTTTCTATCTTAGTTTTGGAGACAATCCCTTACTGAACTTTGAGCATATTCACTGGCTAGATTGACAGGCCAGGGAAGATCCTTCTAAACGTGCTCACCAGGTTCCAGGAGCCCGCCCCCACGCCCGCCGCCACGCCCACCACCACACCCACCGCCATGCCTGGCTTTTTATGTGGACTCCAGGTATCCAACAGTAAGTATTTTAACTGTGTTTCCGTTTCCATAAATTTTCAATTATCCCCAGTCCTCTTGGGCCAGAAAATTAGGGCTATTTACGTTAGGTGAAGAGAGGGCCTTTCTGGATAATCAGAGATAGTGATTCCTCCCTAGACATTTTGAATTTATGGATTCAGGTAAGTCCTTATGGCATCTACTAACTCAGACTGTGCCTTCAAGAAGGAGCATGAGCTGTAGTTTCCAGCCCTGTACCATACACACAGCCCTGGCTATGTGTGGTACTCTCCCCGCATCCCCCCTGCCCAAGGCAGACTTTCCAATCTAGGATGGAGGACACTGAGTTACTGCAGAGGTTAGGAAATGGCTCAGACTCACACAGCAGAGCCCAGATTTGACTGAATCCCACCAACGCTGTCCTCTGATCGGCCTTGTTGCCTTCTATCTCCTTCACAGTCTCTCCTGCTTTGTCTCTGTCCCTAATGAGTATTGCTTCCTGAGCTAGACATGCCCCACACCCCTGTCTGATAAATACAAGCTTCACTTCCCACCCAACATGGCCTTGAGTGGTGGCCCCTAAGTATGACTCTATCCCATTGACCTGGGGGTAGGGAGGTGTCCGGGAAACCAGTGGATTTCATTATTGTTACAACTGGCTGACCCTAGGGTGCATTATTTATGAGTATCTGGACTTTCACTATAAAAAGGCCATATAGTTCAGCCTCCTGCCTCAGAGTAAGGCTTTGCTCAGGCCCTTCCAGGCAATAAATTCCCATCTCTGAAGACCCCAAGGGTGTTCTTGGGGTTCTCCACATTCTGCTCCTCCTCCACACATCCCAGAGTCTGCTTACTCTGGGGCTGTTCCTCATTCCCATGTATACCTTTTCCAGAGTGTAAGTCAGCGGGGCTCTGCCCCGGGGGCGTGGCTCCTCCCAGCTCAGAACTGCATAGGTCTCTCTGACCTCGCTGGCGTGGACATTGGTTGGGGCTGACGGAATGGTCACAGCATCTGGAATGAAGAGTCAATCAAGAGAGAGATGAGTGGGCCCTCAAAGACCCTCAAAGACCCCTAATCTCAGCTCTGCATTTCACAGAGGAGATTGTCTTAATTTATCCAGCAAACCTATACAGAGCCAGCATCAGACTCCAGTCCCCTGAGGCCTGGCCCGGGGCTCTTCCCTATAAGCCATTTATTCCACAGAAAAGCACAGCCAGGCAGTCTACATCCCCCTTGCTCCTTGCTTGGTTTCCTCTGGCTAGACCCTCTTACACCATGAACCCTGTTTTGCCAGTCAATGAATGCAAGTTCCAGAACCCGCAGAAGCTGGCTCCAGAGGCAGCCAGGGAAGCTCACACATACCTTCAAAATCGTTCTTGCTGATGGTGATCTTGCTGCCCAGGTCAAAGGGAATCTCTAGGAGGTGGGATGGAGCACAGAGGATTGGGTCAGAAGTCAGTGGGCCACCTCAGGTTCTATATCCTGCCTGGTCCTGCTTGGCCTGGCAGCCCTGAGGTATGGGCCTTTTGGGTCTAGCTTTCATGGAGTCCAAAGTGGGCCTTGTCACTTGTGGCAGATGGAGACAGACACGGGGGCTGTGTGTTAGACTCCATAGAGTTAGGTCAAACCCAAGCAGGGTGGCCTCCAAGGGCTGGGAGAGCTGTGTCTTCAACATCACCAGACATGGGGCTTCTGAGGGCACCTCAGGTAGAAGCTCTGGGGCTGGAAAGATGGCACGGAGGTTAAGAGCACTGACTGCTCTTCCAGAGATCCTGAACAATTCTCAGCAACCACATGGTGGCTCACAACCATCTGTAATGGAATCCGGTGCCCTCTTCTGGTGTGTCTGAAGACAGCGACAGTGCACTCATGTAAATAAATATCCCCCCCCCTTTTTTTTTAAAGTAGCAGTTCTGATTGGAGCTTGGACAGGTGTCTGCTAGGAATGGGTCTGGTGTCTTCCACCAGACTAGCTGTTCCTTCCCTCTCTGAGGAGAGGTTCCTAAAGACAGGACTGTGCTTCCTCCCATCAGACTGAGGGTAGACTTAGTTAAGAGCAAGACTGTAAGTTTTCATCACACTAGGGCTAGGCACTGTCTTCTCTGTCTGAGACTGGGGCTTCCTGGAGGTTGACTCAGGAGTCCCTGTGATGGTTAGTGTTAGACTGTCAACTTTATTTATTTATTTATTTTGGTTTTTTGAGACAGGGTTTCTCTGTGTAGTCCTGGCTGTCCTGGAACTCACTCTGTAGACCAGGCTGGCCTCGAACTCAAAAATCCGCCTGTCTCTGCCTCCCAAGTGCTGGGATTAAAGGCGTGCACCACCACTGCCCGGCATCAACTTGATTTATAATCACCATGGCAACAAACCTCTGCATGTCTGTGAGGGAGTCAAATGAAATGGAAGGACCCCTCCTAAGCATGTGCCGCACCATTCTATGGGCTGGGGCCCTGGACTTAGCAAAAAGAAGAAATCTAGATGGCCAGTGGTGGCCGTGCCTCTCTGTGGGATCCTGGGCTCACAGTTCTTCTGCTGTGATGGATTGTACCCTCAAACTGGAGCCCAAACAAGCACTTCTGTTCTTAGGGTTTTTTTGTTAGGTGCTTTGCTACAGCAGTTACAAGGGGAAACCAGGCCACCTCTTCCTGACTAAGGCAGTCCCTTCTGAGTGCCCTGTCTGAGTCCCTACAATGTCCCCTCAGGATCTCACCTGTCTCCTTCTGGACTGCATCATAGTCACCCGTGACAACTGCTTCTGAGGCCTTGGAAGGAAGACTGGTGCCGGCCTTGCTGATGGCTCGCACTCGGAATCGATAGCTCTGCCCTTCAATGAGGCCTTGGATTGGGCACCGGCAGGTTCCCCCAGGGGCCTGATGGCAGGGCACCCACTCCTCTGAATCACCCTGGCACCTGTGGAAATAGACCCTGGCTTTTAGCCCTTCTCAGTCTGTTTCCTGTGCACAGGCTGCAGCTGTCTCGTGACCACATGAGTCTCCTTCTTCCCCTTAGAAGCCTTGCTCCAGCCAAGACCTCGAGGCCCTTCATGGTCTCCTACCACCACACTGATCAGAAGAGCTTGCTGTGTCCCCAACACTGAGATGGGGCCTTCACCTCCACTCCAATTTTGTTTTTCCCTGTTCTTGCCAATCACTCCACAATGGGGCATTGTAGAGAGAATATCGTGTGTATTGTATGGATGCATCACCTGTCTATTAAAAAGCCTATGGCGTAGGGAGGAAGGATTCTGGGGTAAAGCCAGGAAAGAGAAGATGTGAGGAGACAGACGAATGGTACCTGAGCACAGGTAACCAGCCTTGTGGCAGAATGTAGGTTCAAATAAATGGGTTGTCTTAAGTTATGATTCTGGTCAGAGAAAAGCCTAGCTATATGGCCAAGGTATTTGTGAATATATTTTGAATCTGAGTCTTATTTCTAGGAACATGGGACTGGGAGGACAAAGCAGACCCTAACTTCTACAAGGCATGCATGCTTAGAGAGCTAGGAAACAGAGTACAGGCTCAGGAATACATACAGTGCTTACTGGTCCCTCTACTCTTAGGCCTGGTTTTCTTGCTAGTTCCAGTTTCAGTGTTTATAGCACATGAAGGTAGTAGCGAGTTCTGTCTCTTCCCACCCTTCCCCACTCTTAGTGTGTCCCTCTCGGGCATCTGACCTAGTCACCAAATGCACAGGTACCCAGGCTTCAAAGTATTTAACAGTCTGTCCCAGAATTCTAGGCATCAGTGTGAAAGAGATTTAAAAACCTGGACACCTTTGCACTGTCCCCAAATTGTTCCTTACAAACAGGCCCTTGCCTTGTGCTGAGAACCAGGGATGAATGTAGGGGGCTGGTTCTGATCAGGAATCTGTGTTACTGAGGCTGAAGGTCCTCGCCCCCAGTTGGGTTTTGATCTATCAATAAAGATGCCAGTGACCAATGGCTAGGTAGAAAGAAAAAGGCGGGACTTTCCTTCAAGTAGAAGAGAGGAAGAGAATCAAGATACTTGGGAGAAAGATGGAACAGACTAAAAGCTGCAGGGGAAATCTTCCAAAATGTAGGCGGAAAAGGAAAGCAGCCCAAGGCAGGGCAGCCTGAAACCATCTTGGATAGCAAGACCAATGGGCTCAGAAGGTAACTGAGCAGCAAAGTTAAAGGTAGATTTGGAAGATGTTTAGCCAGGAGAACCAGAGGGAAGGGCACGATAGCCTAGTCACGGGAGGCTTAGAAGTGCCCAACCATTGAGCTAAAAGCATATTAAAAAATAAACTGATGTGTGTACATATTTTATCCATGGATCTGAGATAGCTTCTGGATGAGTATGTGCCTGCAACTCATCCATAGTTCAAAGCAGTGTAGACAAAACTATAGGCTACAAATGAGAGTCCTAGCATGGAGCTTGCTTTTTCTACCTCTTGTGCCCTCCCCTCCCATAAACTGTTAGTCAGTACCCTGCCCAAGGGGCTCTGTCACACCAGAATGCAACTCACATCTCAATGGAATAGCCAGTGATGGTGCTACCCCGGGTGTTGCTGGGTGGGACCCACGTCAGGGTCAGGCAGTCTCTATGCACATTCAGACACCGGACATTTAGTGGGGAACCTGGGGCTCCTGGCTTCTCAGCTGCAGCATCTGAATCCCAGGAGGAAAAAAAGGGTTCATCCTAGGCCTGGGCCATTTGGGAGCTAAGATGTCTGTCCCCCCAACCCATCTGAACTCCTCTTCCCTTGAGTCCTCCAGGGTCTCAGTTCTGACCTGGAGGGCCAGTGCCAGAGGACTAACCTGGTCCCCACTAGACAGTAGCATCTGGGGAGGGGCAGCAGTATCATTTATTAGGTGACCGTTTTACACCAAGCACCTGAACAGTTGACATAATTAACCTGTAAGCTCTAGAGCAACCTCCATTTTGGGGGTGGGAAACTGAGTCTCACAAAGGTACAGCACCAATGTTCAGGGACACTCAGCTCGCAGAGTGACCATGCCAGGGGCAGAATATAGACAGGGTCAAGACACCAGACATCAATAGTAAGGAGGGCCTTCCAGCACTGTACAGAGCCCTCCCTCCTGGTCCCCACCACTCCTGGTCCCCACCACATCTCCTCTTGGAGACTGTGGAGACTTGGCTGTGTCCTTTGGGTCCACAGGACGCTAATGTAGGGACCCTTAGAGACCAACCTGACATCCTCATAGTAGAGGAGCCCAAGTTCCGAGAGTGCAGGAGCCTTGGATGAAGTGGTCACCTTACCTCTTATAAAGACATAGGCACTCTGCTCCTGCAGCCCAAAGGGGGAGGAAACTCGGATTGTGTAGAGCCCCTCGTCCTCCTTGTAGGCACAGGACACCTTCACGGAGGCCTGGCGGTCTGCGTAGAGTATCTGCCTGCGTGTTGAAGACCTCAGTAGCCTGCCTGTGGACAGGAAGAAGGTCCAGTGTGAGCTCATGGAGGATCCCAGCCTCCCGCAAGGAGCTCACAGAAGCTCATGGCTTTGGAAACCCTGGAAGGGCGTGAGAGGGCTGAAGGCTGAGGCTCAGTGGGTGGTGGAGGTAGGTATTGAGGACTTTCAGAGATCTGACCACGTGGGTTCTGAACTCCTCTGAGAGATCTGAAGGACAGCATCAGGGCTCAGTGAGGGTGGGGTCGAAGAAGAGAGTAAAGGTTTAGGAAGGTAGTTAGCAGGTGAGGAATTAGGAGGAAAAGAGAAGGAGCCTGCGTGAGGTACAGAAACTCAGCAAGGGGGCTCAGCGGAGTGAAGAAGTGATTGGTTTTATTGTTTTATTTATTTATTTATTTATTTATTTATTTATTTATTGAGATAAAGTCTCAAGTAGCCTATGTGTCCCTCTGACTTCTGTTCCTCTAACCTCTGACTCCTGAGTGCTGGAGCGACAGACACACGCTTTCATACCCCATTTATGTGGTCCTGGGGATAGAACCTGGCTTCCTGTATGATGGATAGGCAAGCACTCTATCCACGTTGGTAGTGGGCCTTCCTGAGAGATGGGAGCTCAGTAAAGGGCCAGGGTCTCATACAGTGAGGAGGGCAGAGGGGAAGGAGGTCAGCTGAGAGACTTGGGTCCCTGAGCAGGACCTTGAGTGGCACTCTGGGAGTGTCCTTGTCCTGAGCGGCCTTGGAGAAGGGACCTTGCTCCTCCTCCCTGTCAGCACTCTGTTCTGAATGATAGACAGGTTTGGGAAAACACATCCGTCTTGTTATTGCAGCTGTCCCTCAGGCTCCCCGACTCTACCCTGCCCAGCAGGTGCCACCTTCCTGGGCTCAAGGCAAGGGCATGGGGGAGGGTGGATGGCTGTGCTTTTTGCCCTTAGGCTGCAGGGCTGGTCACAGTCGGGCTCAGGGGGCCCCCTGTTCTCACAGAGTAGCTTGCTCTAGCCCTTTTCCTGGGCCACCCAGGAGCTCTTTATTCTGAACATGTGTTGGGGAGGGGCATGGCTGACTCCTGGGGTGGGGATGGATGTTGTCCCTGGGATGGGGATGGATGTTGTCCCTGGGTTAGGAAGGAACAGGCCTCTGCCTCAGAAAGCCATGGGCTCACCATCTCTGAACCACTGGATTCTCTGCTCAGCGTCCAACACATCATCTGAAAACAAACAGGTCAGGGAGAAGGGCTCCTTCTCTTGGGCAAAGATTGGCTTCAACACCGATGTAAACTCCACACTGGGGCCAAACATAGATCCTGGGTGGGGACAGAAACATGCGATCAAGGTCTTTTAAGACACCAGCCTGTCCTTGGTCTAAATGGGTCTAAACTCTTCTGGGTTGTCCTCATTCCTCTGGGTCAGAATTCAGTTTGTTTTCTTTCCTTCGAGACAGGGTTTCTGTGTGTAGCTCTGGCTGTCCTGGAACTCTTTGTAGACCAAGCTGGCTTCGAACTCACAGAGTTCTAGCTACCTCTGCCTCCTGAGTGCTGGAATTAAAGGTGTGCTCCACCATGGCTGGTGACTTATAGTTCTTAAAGGTAGGGGAAAAAGTCCTGGGGTGGGATGGGGGAACCAGGAAGTCAACATGGCAGTTGGGATCAGCACCTGTGACAGCCTTCCGTCAACGGATGGGCTTTGAGGGGAATGGTGACTCTTCTGAGAAGGACTGAGGGGATCCCCACACCCTGTTCCCATCCCCAGCCCACTTACGTTTAAAGATCTCTGAGTCAAAGCCAGCATCTTTTCCCAGGTAAGCTGCCAAAACAAGACAAATATAGCTTGAGACATCCCAGACTCCACAATCCTCCTACATTTAGGGACATGCACGTGGATGTGGGCTTGAGTTCTGACTTATCAGTGGCCCCTGCAGCAGCTCTGGGGAAACCCTTTTATATTCCTGTCCCTCAGTTTCTTCTTCAGCAAAAATGGGAGCTGTGGTTGTTCCTCAATGGTGTGGGTTGTAAACAAATTGGGTTTCATGCATAAAGCCCCTAGTCAGTGTTCAGCACACAGTAGGTGCTTCATAAATGCTGGTTTTCCTCTTCTTCTGAACTTGTGGATGGGATCATACACTGCCCTCAAAGGAGACAGTCCTGGCCAGAGACTCTGGAGGTCTCTGGATGTCACTGATAGGGTTGGCTGGAGGTTCAGAGGTAAGTGGACATGACCTCCAGGGCCAGCTACGAGCAGCTGCCCCTAGCTTAACTCTGTCAACTCTCACAGATGGAGAAACTGAGGCCAAGTTACCTAGGCTAGCCCTAGTAGCCTATGATGTGCTTCTGGACCCCAGAGTGAGGTCTGGAAGGGGTATGGGTAGGTTCTAAGGGATACACAGAGCTGGTGGGAGACTCAGTATTAGAACCTGGGGTCCTGTCTCCCAGCACAAGAACATGCATAGAGACCCCCATGTCACCATGGAGACAGACAGAGGGTGGTAGTATCCATGAGCTCATGTCTCTACGGGATCTTTGAATTGCTGGCCTTGATGGAGGGAGGGAAGGGCAGAGGATGGAAGGAGGGAGGGAGGCTGGATAGTGAGACGCAGTGTATGACCTTGGATTTCACTCTGGACACAGCCTATGGGCAGCTCAAATGTCTACACGGAGAGACCCTGGCTGGGTGACAGGGACAGCTGCCTCCCAGGAGCTATCTCAGGAATGCACAGACCTTAGAGGACTGCAAAGGACAGTCTAACAAGATTGTGACAGGCTAGGAGGGCAGGGCTGGACAGCTGCCCTGGTTGGGCAGGAGAGAGAGAGAGAGAGAGAGAGAGAGAGAGACAGAGACAGAGACAGAGACAGAAAGACAGAGACAGAGACAGAAAGACAGAGATAGAGAAACAGAGAGAAAGAGAGAGGCAGAGACAGAGAAGCAGAGAAGACAGAGACACAGAGAATATACCATGTAGGACCTCTCACTCCAAAGCTCTGAAGGCCAGGTATGGCATTCACAGAGGGACAAAAGACAACATTGTCTCCCAAGAGTGGCATGTTAATCTCATCTGCACCATTTCACTGACCAGCCTCGAGCCTCTGAGGAGTGAGCAGGACTCCATTGTAAAGTAAGCCACACTTTCAAGAGGTTAGGGGGCTTGTCCAGGCCCCCCACGGCAGCTAAGGCAGAGACAAGATGGGAACCCAGGTCTGGCTGAAGCCTGGGTATCTGACCTGTTGTAAGCTGTGACTTTTGAATGTTCAGGCTCTAGGAGAGATGAGCCCAATAGGAAAACACACAGGAGAAAGCCAAGAGAGGCAGAGGGAAGGGAGTAAGGACCGGCAGCCTTTGCCTTTTCTTCTTGGAGGCCCTCATCTGGGCCAGCTCCAACAAGCTATGGAGACGGCTGTCAAGGTCACCTGGAACAGTTGGCTAGGGTCTTCATGGCGGTCTGTTAGGGGGCAGTGAGACCTGAAGCCCAGTCTGCTCTGTTCTCCATTGTAGGACAGTCCCCTTCCTGATCCATTTACCTAGTTCACACCAAGTTTAGTGACTGACCCGTGCCTGTTATGACTCTACAGACAGAGCTAAGCTCAAGGCCAGCGTAGGACAGAGACAGACTGTATATACCGCATGCATAACGAGTGCTGAAGGGTGGGGGGGGGATCCCCCTTCTCCTCCCGGTGGTTCTCCACACACTCTCCAGGGACAGGGCTTCCTATGTCATCAACTCACCCAGTTGGCCTTGCTAGTCTGAGGGAGGAGGCTCTCAGTCCAAAGGCCCCCAGGTCCCCGGTCTCAGCTCATGTGCCATCTTAGGTTCACCTCTATCTGCTGGCCATGGGCTTGTGGGACCCAGCCTGTTGGGGATGGATGGACTTACTGCGGATGAGGACTTTGGCAAAGGAAGAGGCCTGGCCGTAGGCATTCTTCACCAGCACAGTGTAGGTGGCTGAGTCCTCAACCACGCACCTGAAAGGGAGGGAGGGGGAAATCTCACAGGATGCTCGGCTCCATGCGGAACACCCCCCCCCCCCCCCCGGGGGGGGAGGGGTCCTGTCAACATGGGAAAGACCCAGGGCTGTATGTCTTTGGGCTGGTCGCTTGATTTCTTTATGAAATACTAGGGATATAACACCAGCCTAAATTAGCTCAAGGAAAAGGTCTTTGAAAATATCGTGTACCATACTGCCTTGTTATTACTAATTGCAGAAGATCAGAGAGGTAGAGCGATTCTCCCAGAGTCACACAGTAACTGAAATTCAACCCAGCTGTCTGCACCTCTTTCCAGACACTGCCTCCTGCCCTATTGACATCTCCACATCAAAAATTATGAACGGGGTTTCCTCTGCTCACACCGGGCAGCAGACTTGCTGAGGCCTAGTGCCAGTCTGTACCAGAGCCAGGCACAAGGCCCAGATCTCCTGTTTCAGGCCTGGGTCTCGCCACCAGCCAGAACAACCCTGTGTGTGCCCCAAAAAAGCTTGACTGGTTCCTGTCCAAGGTACCCTGATGGAGTAGGCAGGAGGAGATGTCTCTCTGGCCCCATCACCAAGCCAAGAGCTCCTTGGTGCCCTGTGTTCCCTGGCACTTCAGGCAGATCTCTCTTGCTTCAAAGTCCTCAAGCTTTCCCCTGGTCCCTTAGGCCTTCTGAGGATGGCTAAACTGAGGTACCAGAGCCCGGGTTTAGCCTCAGTGGTGTTGGGACCCGAGTCATGGGGGATGGGCCTTGCCCTGTCTGTGCCTTTACCTCCTGATCTCCAGGGTCAGCAGCCCGTAGTTGTTGGTGATTCGGTACTTGCCGGCTGGAAAGAGACGGGGATCGATCCGGATGTCGTTCTTGTACCTGTGGAGACACAGTAGCTGTGGTGAGCCAGGGGACACAGAGCTTTCAGACCATGATTCCAGCCTCAGCAATGTGTTGCTTCCCATCTGGCTACACCCCTGGTGGAACTTTCACTGCCAGCCTCAGTTGTCGTCGCCTGGAAAATGGGAGCACACAGTGCTGGCCCTGTACACAGGGTTGGCTCTGTAGGGCTGTTGTCCCCCTGAGGTGGGGTAACACTTCTTTGGTCCTGCTCATTGTAGATGCTCAAAGATCTATTCCAGTCTGGGGTAGCTGCCAGAGGTGTCCCAGGGCACACCAGGGACAAGGCCTTGTATTTGAACTCCTCTTTGAGGGGCCTGTACCAATGAAAACTCCAAATCTTTCTTTATAACTCCCTAGGGCAAATGCTTATAATTACTGCTATTTATTTATTGAAGTTTTGAGATTGGGTCTCAGGTAGCCCAGGCTAGCCTTGATTTAGAAACGTAGTCAAGGATTACCACAAACCACTAATACTCCTGCCTCCGTCTCTCAAGTGCTAGGGTCACAAGTGTGCAGCTACCAAGCCTAGTTGCTGAGGCTTCTTCTTTCTCTCCTCTTCCCCCCTTCCCTGTTCTCCTCCAACCCCCTCCTTCCCCAGCTCTTCCTCCATCTTCTTTGGAGACAGGTGTCACTATGTAGCTCACATGAGCCTTGGATTTGAGACCCTCAGGGCTCAACCTTTGAATGCTGGGGTTACAGGCATGCACCTCCACATCTGGCTTTCTGTCCCTAATTTTAGCTCTCAATTAAATCAGCCAAGGAACTTTAAAGGTCTTTGTCTGGAGCTGGGGTACAGGCTGGGCGTGGGACATTTGCCTAGCATGCACGAGACCCGGGGTTGTCTCAACAACACCGAAGGCTCCTTATCACACGCAGTGTTGGAGACACAAGCCTTGCGGGAACTGCGTCAGAGGGCTTGGCCACATCAGGGCCCTCTAATTCAGTGGTTCTCAACCTGTGGGTCGAGACCCCTTTGAGACTCAAATGACCCTTTCACAGGGGTCGCCTAAGACCATCAGAAAACACAGATACTTACATTACAGTTCACAACAGTGGCAAAGTAATAGTTATTAAGTAGCAATGAAATAATTGTATGGTTGGAGTCACCATGACATACGGGGCTGTATTAAAGGGTTACATCGTTAGGGAGGTTGGGAACCACTGTTTTAATTCTAAAGAAACAGGATTTACCCTGGAGCCTCCTAACATACTGCCTGTCTCCTTGCCCTCTCTCTGGGAGGTGTGGTCGTATGACAATGGTCAACAGCAAGTGGGGACAGGTGCCACATGGCCGCTGCTGACCCATTTTGCATCAGTTTGACCTCCTCTGTGTCCTGTGGCTGGAGGAAGGCTGAGGCAGAGGTGCCGGTGGCCAGTGTTTTGTCCAGACTTGCCCTGTGTCCCAGTAAACTTAGGACTTCTGGGTATAGGACCTGGACACTGGTGTTGGGTGTGTGTTGGGTGCATTATTGTGTGTGCGTGTGCGTGTGCGTGTGTGTGTGTATAGTCCTTTTAGGGATTGACTCCTTGGCCTATATATGCTAGGCAAATGCTGGACTCTGAACACACCCCTAGTTTTGTAATTGTTGTTGTGGTGGTGGTGGTGGTGGTGGCAGCAGCACTGGTGGTGGGGGGGGTATGTGCATGTGTCTCAGGTGAATGCAGAAATGCCTCTTCACGCTCAAACATAGGCCATTGAGGTTGAAGAGAAGGATAACCTTCTTGCAGACAGAGGGCGTCTTAGCCTCAGGACCAGCCTTTCTTGGACCTGGCCTGTCTCTTTGGATGCCCTGTTTATCTCCATGGCCACAGAATAGAGACACATCCACTCTGTCCTCAGACTGTACCCATTTAGGAAAGGGGCCCAGCTAAGTCTCCTGTGGGAAGGGCAGTGTCTAATCTGGGCACACATCTCACCAGGCTCTGAGGGCCAGGCCCCTAGCCCACACCTGTCAGAAACATTCCAGACACCTCAGGCTGTCCAGGCTCTGCCATCCTCACAAGACGCAGCAGCTGCCAGGCCCTAAGCCTCATCCTGCCTGCCCCTCCAGCCAGAGAGGCCTCAGGGAAGTGACTTACTATTAGCCTAAATTTTCTATTGTTCTTTGAGATAGTGTCATTGGGCAGCTCAGGTCAGTCTCAGACTTGTCACCTTCCTGCCTCAGCCTCCGGAAGCCAGGGATCACAGGCCTATGTCTCTATGCTTACTCTCCTGGGATATTTTGACATCCTAGTCTATCTATCTGTCTGTCTGTCCGTCTGTCCGTCCGTCTGCCTATCTATCTATCTATCTATCTATCTATCTATCTATCTATCTACCTATCTACCTATCTATTTATCTACTTACTTTTGGTTTTTGAGACAGGGTCTTACTATGTAGTCGTGTCCTCAAACCTTAGCTTTTTTTTTTTTAACTAGAAAAAATTTATGTGCAGGATGTGTGTGGGGAATTTTGTATGTCAATGCAGAACCCAAAGGAGCCAGAGACTTTGACTTCGGTTGAGCTGGAGTTACAGACAGTTGTGAGCTACCAACATGGGTGCTGGGAATTGAACTCTGGTCCTTTGGAAGAGCCATATTCATTCCTAACCATTAAGCCATCTCTCTAGCCCTATATTCTACTTTTAATGGTATTTCCAGCAGTTGCTGTCCCTCTCTTTGCCTCTCCTTGGCACCCCTCTGAGCACTGAGCTCCCCCAAATACCCAGGGGTATTCTTGGGTTTCTTCTTGTTCATGTGCAGTCCCAAGTATGCACCATTCTGAGAACAGATCCCTCCCCCTGCCTGCCCTACACAGCAAATCTGCCTCCAGCGACTGTAACAGTGCTCATTGTGTTTGCCTCACTAGGGCAAGGCTGTATGTTTGAGTCCTCTCGATACTTCTGCATCTAGGAAATACTCAGCAGTTGCTGAATGAATGGACTCTCCCAACAAGCCTGGACCGTAAGTAGGAACACACCCTTAGAGACCAGTCTTATGATGCTGCTCTGGGATCATCAAGCCAGGAGCCTCAGGCGTCACCAGCCAGTGGGTCTGGCTTTGGCTTCTACCCTTTCAGAAATACTTGGCTCTGTGGTGCTGGCCTTATTGGCTGGAGCAGAAACCAGGCCCCCTCCTAGAGACTCCTGTGGAATGCCTTAGATGTGGGCTTAAGTGCCAAGGTGGGCGGGGCTTGGCTGCAGGTGGACAGCCAGTGGTTCCTGACCCCCTCCACCCCCACCCCTGCGGACTTAGCCCAGACCTGAGTTGGAAGCAGACCTCTTACTGGGGCCAGCCACTGGCAGGTGGGACTGCCTTGGTCTCCACAGCACCCAGTGCCCAGCACACTGTCCAGCGCATGACTTTGAAAATGTGCCAGCTGGAACTGGCCAGCCTGGAGGCCAGCTTCCTTCAGATGTCACTCTCGGCTGTGACCCGCCTACATGTTTTCCATCTCCAGCTACTTAGCACCTGTGTGCTTAAAGTTAAAAACAAAAATTAAAACAACAAGAGAAACCCCTGAAAACCTAACCTGCTGCCCTCTTGCTTTGGGGCTACCAGGAGAATCCCCAAATCTGAGTCCTGATCCACTTTGGCTGTGTGACGCTAGCTAAGGCTCAAATGGGACAGGGGTGGCCGTCTGTGTAAAGGGGGGTCCCTTTACTTTTACTTCTGTTTTTATACCATGTGATGTTGACCCTCCAGCTCCCATGCTGTCTCTTCTGAGAAGCCTTCCTGGACATTTCAGGCTGGGATAACCATTTCGTCTCTTCCCCTCTCTCTGCTGACCTGAGCAGGACTGTGAGAACACTTCTCTGTGGCCAGTTCTCCCTGGGCAGAGCAGTCTTTAAGGGTGAGTCCCTGACAGGGCCTGGGACGGTGATATTGATAATGAATATTGTTGAAAGTCCTTTCTTATCCTGCAGCCTGCCTGGCAATGGTTCTAAGACCTAGTAATCAGGGACTCCATTATGTGGACAACATGGCTCCTCAGGAAGTGGCCATGTACCCCACCTCCAGTACCTTGCTCAGAGGATCTCCCAGCTATAAGGCTTCTGGGGTGCTGCTATGCTTCTAGAAATGTTGTCTCCTGTCTTCTCAGATCTGTCCACTTCTGTTTTCTAGATGTGACTCTCCTGCCTCCGTCTCTTAAGGGCTGGCTTAACACGCATGTGCAACCTTTATGCCTGGCTCTTTCCCAGCCCTTGTCAAGTTCTGAGGACTTCCTCTGTTGGGCATTACACACTTAGCGTGAATCAGCTGGGTAAGGGTCTTCAGCCTATTATCTGAGCTGGAAACAGCAGCAAACTCAGAAGCAGATCCAAGGGGTTAAGTTATCTATCTACCTGTGGCCACACCCTGACTCAATGGCGATCGGAGAGAACACTAGGCCTGACTTTAGGCTCACACTCCAGACCTGAGTCCATCCTCTCAGTGGGGTCCTGCCCTCCCCACCTCCTCCCTAGCTTCTGGGCTTTCTGTTCTGACTCCCAGAACAGTCTCGAGTACTGAAGATGCCCAGCTCAGAGCAGCTGTCTTCTCAGGTCATGGAATCATATTTTTACAAGGGCTGGCTCTCCAGGGGGCTCCAGTCTTCCCCACCTAGGCTAAGAATAACTAAGTCCCAAGCAAGCCTGAGGCTCCCAGGCAGCTGTCGTTGCTCTGTATGTAGGGTGGGTGGAACTCAGTCTGTGGGGTATGGTCTTGCTGAGATAGAGGAACCTTGGGTGAAGATGGGGGACCCCCAAAGAACTCCAAGAGAGATGGAGGGAGAGCGAAGACTCCATCTCCAGCCCTAAGGGCTTACGTACCAGGTGACCTGGAATGGAGCTGAGCCCTGGACGGTGCAGGTCAGCAGTACTGTGGTGTGCTCCCAGACGGTGTGTGATCGAAGTGGGATCCAGAACCAGGGACCACGGCCAGAGCACAGCTCAATCAGCTCCTTGGCCTCCCGGACCTTCTCCTCTGTCTGGAGGTGAAGAGGTGTGTGACTTCAAGGGGCCAGGGATGGCTTTCCTACCACATTGCCCCCTGACACTCAGACTCTGGCTGAGTCCTCATGTACATCATCTTGAGGCAGTGTTGCTCAGTGGTCAGGGAGTGTGCTCTTGGACCAACTACGGGATTACAGGCAGAGCCTTATTCTCCTTGCCTGTAAAATAAGAATGATGAAATATTTATTTGCTCACCCCTGTAGGGGTTATGATAGGGGGTGAGTCAATCCATGAAGAACACAGGGGTTATATAAAGAAGCCCTGTGAAGTGTGACCTGGCCAGGGGGCAGGGAAGGGACCTCAGATCCGGCACAATTGTGAAGGTCTTCTAGACACTGGGAAGTCATCTACAAGTCTGAGGTCATTTAATTTCTACCTCAGTACAGGGCTGTTATAACCACACCCGAGTCACAGATGGGAAACTGAGGCTCAGGAACAGCCTGACCTTTTCTCAGGTTACCTAGCTGAGGGGCATCAGAATCGGAATCTAGGGCCCAGGCCTTTTCCTGGATACCTTTGGAGAAGGGGGAGGAGTAAGGATGAAGCACTGTCGGGGGTCAGATTCAAAGCTGGGGTCTCCCCAGCACCCGCCTCACCCGTTGCCGCAGCGCCTTCCAGTCTTGTCTCTGACGCAGCAGCCTCTGAGTCCGTAGGAAGGCCATCTCCAACCGCTCCAAGTCATTCCCAAAGCCTACCCGCCTCTGCCCACGCTCCTCCAGCTCCACTGTGGTGGTCTGGCGTCTCAGCGTAGCTTCCCTGTAGGGACAGGCCTCAGACAGAGAGGTTGGAGCAGTCCGACTCCCCACCCCACAGGCTAGTGGTGCTTAGGAGTGTGCCTTAGGGACAAGCACAGCCTTGTATCCTCGTAGCTGGCAGACACACTGAGAGGAGACTGGGGAACGTAGCTCAGATGGTACAGCCATTGTTTCAAATGTGCAGAGCTCTTGGGTTTGATCTACAGCACCGTGAAAAACACACACTTTCAGTCCCAGTACTCAAGAAGCAGGAGGACCAAAAGTTCAAGGCCACCTTTGGCGACATAGCGAGCTTGAGGCTAGCCTAGTCCACATGAAACCCTGCCTCAAAAAAGTTTGTATGCAGCTATGTGAGTGTGTTGCCAGGGATGATCCTTTTATGGCCAGAACTTAGTAAGTGTGTAGTTAGGAATGGAGCGTGTGAGGCTCCTGAACAAACAATTGGCCGATTTTTGATGTGTCCAGATGTGTCTCACAGGACAGGAAACTGAGGTCCAATGATTTGCTTAAGGGCAACAGGACTGTGTCCCAGACGTCAAGCCCAGCTCTTTCCTAAAGCTGTGGTCCCTCTGGCCGCACTCAGTCATGCAGGAACCTTCCCTTCCTTGTGTGAGTCTTGTGATTGATACCGGTCTGTACCCCATGGCCAGTTCCTCTCTTACTTGTGAAGCTTTGTGGTAATGAGGATGGCTGCTTGGGGACAGTCCTTTCCTGATGTGGGGACTCATCCAGGGGGTGGTGTGAGGTTTGGCTTCACAGTGTCTGCTTTGCACTCTGCCTATCCCTTCTGCAGAAGGAACTTTGGCCAGATCCATTGTGTGCCAGCAGGAGCCCACGGAGAAGTAGGGGACAAGAGACTAGGGACCAGGGTCAAGGTAAAAGTCCTTCCGCATCCAGTGACAGTCATATGACTTACCAGGACAACTCTGAGGAGGCTGTCAGGGCCAGGGCAGCAGCCAGGGCATAGTCTTCAGAGCTGAATTGCTGCTCTTCCTCACTGCAAGGAGAAAGAGGGGATTTCCTGGGGTCCTGAGACCATGACTGGACATTAGGGTACCAGAAGGCAACCCCGAGCTCCCTTCTCATACTGAGCTTGCCTCTCAGTGTGGAGGGTGGGGTGGGGTGGGGTCTTAGTGAGCAAGGATATCTCCCCCCTGGACAGGGCTGTGCCTCCTGTTAGGGTCTGGATATGAGGTATCCCCTAAAGGACTTGTGTTGAAAACTCAGTCCTCAGCTGCTGGATCTACTCATTGAGAAGGGGCTGGGGCACAGGGACCACAGGGGCCACGGGGACCACAGGGACCACGGGGACCACAGGGACCACAGGGGCTGTGTGCTCATCACCATCAGTCACTCCATCCCCTGATGGGTTCAGTTTGGTGGTTTTATTGGGAGCAGAAGAAACATCTAGAAGTGTAGGACGTAGATTATGGAGGATTTGCCTTGCTCCGGGCTCGTTCCTTTCCTTCCTTTCTTCCTCCCTTCCTTCTTCCCTCCCTCCCTCCCTCCCTCCCTCCCTCCCTCCCTTCCTTCCTTCCATTCTTTCTTTGATCCTTCCTTCCTCCATCCCTCCTTCCTTCTCTCTTTCCCTCTCCCTCTCTTCATCTCCCTCCTCCCCCTCCTCTGGCTACCTTGCCAGCATAATATTTGTTCTGCCTCAGCCTCAAAGCAATAGAGCCAAGACTGGAACAAACTCCATAAAGGGCTAGGCAAACAAATAAACACCAACAAAAAATCAACAAAACAAAACAAAACAAAACAAAACCTCCACTCTTCTTCTCCTAATGTGTTTTTCTCAGGTGCTTTGTCATGGGGACAAAAAGTCCCCAACACACTCCTTGAGGGACTGTGTCTCCTCTCACACAGGGTCTGTAGAGGACTGCTCCATGTCACTTTTATTCAGACGGGGGTCTGAGGTATCTCAGAAGGTGGGCCTGTGCTACCCATCTAAGATGGGAGTCTTTGGACAGCTGGGCTATGTATCCCCTTGCGAATGGGGTCCTGGGGTGGAGCCATGGTGGGGGAGGGGCCACAGGGCCAGGGTACGCCCACCTGCTGCGATAGGTCCGCCTCTGCACAGAAGAACCCATATGCAGGCTGTGCTCCTGCTCCTCTTTCTGCTCCTCCTCCTGCTTGTGCTCCAGCCTGTGGACCTGCACGGTCTGGGAGGCTTGGGGCTCCCCAGCACTTCCAGGACTGTGGGGCAGAGTCATGACTGCGAGCACAATAACCTGATAAAGCCAAGGTGGATATGGTCAGTCGTCTTACCAAGCATCTATTCTCCTTTCCTTCTGGGAGTGTGCAGGAGTGTTTTTTTTCTCTAGAGCAGTGGTTCCAACCTTCTTAATGAGGTCCTCTAATACAGTTCCTAATGTTGTGGTGACACTCCCCCCCAACCATAAAAGTATTTCACGATAACTGTAATTTTGCTGTTAGGAATTGTAATGTAAATGTCTGAGATGTGGGATATCTATGTGACCCCCAAAGGGGTTGAGAACCACCGCTCTATAGGAGCATAGGGATGGAGGCCTGAGAGGGTGAGGGACCACAGTGACAAAGGCTACTCTACTGTCCCTCCTGCCTTGGGAGTCAGTGAGCAGAGACCCATCGGAGAGCAGAGCCCTGGTTGCCGGCTGTGGTTCTGTTCCGTTTATCCTTTTCCAGGGCTTGGCTTCCCTGATGATGACAGACTGCACACTGCTGTCCCAGGCTGGGTCTAGTGTCAGAATGGGCAGATGTCCCCTCTCTCTGTCTATTCCTACCCATGAGCCTTTGCTGGTTTCCTCACTCCAGCCTCTCCTCCAAGCCTAACCTGAGCGCCATGTTATTTCACAGTATGGGGACTGTGAGTCTGAGACCTGGTGCAACCCTGTGACCCTAGTTTCTCCTTCCTGCTTCTAAGTGTGTGGTCTTGGACTTTATAACTTGGCTTTCTCATCGGTAAAATGTGTCCACCACACTCCTGAGATGGGTGATCTTAAGGTTAACTGAGAGCCTGGAGAAGCAAGTCCCACCTAAGTGTCAGACACTCCCACCAACTTCCTCTGAAGCCTTGTAATAACACAAGAGGCCTAGAACTTTCTCTTCTTTAATCTTTTTGGTATTTTTAATCTGTACCCTATAATTTGCTAGTCATTTAGAAAGTGCCTCCCCTTCCTGCTTAGTTCCTACCTGTGTGTAGGCTGTGTGACTTGCTGGTGACTTGGCTTAGCTGCTGAGGGTCAACCCTGGGCACGCATGTATTCCATTTCCTTAAGGTTTGGTTTTCTGTGCTGCCCCCAGCTGTGACCATCAGGGAGATCAGTGGCTTGACGTAATCAGCAGCCATTAAGGGCTGCTCCCAAAAGTCCCTCGGCTCCTGGCAAGGATCTCAGCAGAGCCAAAGGACAGTTGCCCACTTAGGCCTGGCTCTGACTCCTCCTGGCTAGAGAGCATCTCTGCACGCAGGGAACTAGCCAAGCCTGCTCATGCTATCCTCCTTTCCCAGCCCACAGGGTTGACCCAGGGAGCAAGGCTCCGGCCAACGAGGGTTCCTGTGCTCTGACGTCAGCACTGGCCCTCTCTCTGATGCTTTGCTTTAATGAGGACAGCAGCCCACTGGCATTTGGCCTCCAGACCCCCTCCTCTGTGGTGAGCCATGGATGCTTTTTAAAGCACTGACTAAAGTGTGGGATTAAGCAGCACAGGTCTGTGGCCTCCACTGCCCTTCCCCACAGGATGAGAAACAGCACTGGCTGAGAAGGAGTGGATGCTCCCTGCCCAGTGGGTCGGCACAGGCTAGGACAGGCATGGCTCCCCAGATCTGCCAAGACTGGCCTGGTTAGTGAAGGCTGTTCCTTTCCCAGCAGAGCCCTGTGTCCCCATTCCCTGTGTGGGATGAACCCGGCAGCCCCAGGATTTGGGACTGCAAGATATATGCTTTTTCTCTGCTTGTGGGGTCGAACAACCAGGATTTAGCCTGCACACTCCATCCCTGCTGGACCCGCTGGGCCTGCCAGCTCAGGCTTTCCACACAGCAAAGACTCTAGTTCCAGGTATAATCCCCAAGTGCCTTTTCTTTATATTTAGCTTTTATATCAAGGAGGACTCACATCAGAACACTCAGAAAACCCAGGGCCACACAAAATAGTGAAGTGAGGCATGGAGTTCTGGGATACCCTGTTTTCACTTGGGGCGCTACCAAGCTCACATCTCCCAAACAAGCTGCTTTCCCAATGTAATTACATATATACATTACAAACACACACACACACACACACACACAGGTACACAGACATGCACACACAAAAAGATATACATATACCCTACAGGACACACACACACACACACACACACATGTATACACACATGCACACACACATAGATATACACATACCCTACAGGACACAGACACACACACACACACACATAAACACATACCCTACAACACACACACATACCCTACAACACACACACAGACACATACCCTACAACACACACACACACATACCCTATAGCACACACACAGACACATAGCCTATAACATATACATAAACACTATAGATGCACACATCATACACACTTATACATATACTCCACACACTATACTATAGACAAACATATCACTATAGTCACATGAATACATTACACACTAGACACACACACATCATAGACTTTACACGTAAACCTATGGACAGACCACCCCCACATCATATCCACATACACAAACCCATACGCCACAGTCACATGTACACTATAGTTATAGTATAGTCCACTACACATGCATCATATACACCGCTCCCCATAGGTTATTCACTGTGGAAAGTTGAGGTGTCCCTCAGCAGGCCTCCCTCAGCTCCTGATCCATACATGGGACTCACAGAAACAGCGGTATCCACTCGGGTGTCTCTAGGACAGTAAGAAGCTCTCCGGTCTCTTCCTGCCCTCAGCTCAGTGAGGACGGGTGAAGAATGTGACCTGGGAGCCTTGTAACCGTCTTAAATATAGCAGTGCTGAGACAGTGCGGTGACAATGGGAGAGTGGAGGCAGAGGGGAGGGCTGTCTCTTCCTGCCAGCGCTGCTGGGCAGCAGCAACAGGTGGGGTGGCCTCCCCCCTCCTGCTGCTCCTCCCCCACCTCTGGCTTTTCCACCCCACCCTGCCTAGAGTAAGAACCATGCCTCGGGTTCCAGCCTGGCTTGGGGAAAGTGGACACACATGTTCTTAGCTATAGAAGTTAGATCGCAATCCTTCCAGTTTCGGGGCACCCTGGGGAAGGTTTTCAGCTTTTCCAATCTGAAATCCTTCCTGGGAGACAGAGAGTGTCAAGGTACCTGGCTTCATGCAGATAGCACAGAGAGTGTGACCTAAACGTGAGAACTTCGATTCTCTCAGCTAAGGAGGAGATGCTTCTTCTTGTCTATCACTCCAGCAGTTACTGGTGCTGCCCATGGCTGTGTGTGCTGAGGCAGGGCCAGGACAGGAGCCATGAGAAAGGGACACGGCTCCACAGAGCATGTGCAGATCTGGGAAGGCTGTGCCAGCTCCAGGTCAGAGAACATGGCTTCACCACCAGCCTCTTCCCCAAGCACAGGCTCCCCAAGCCAGCTGCTCCTCCTGCAGCTTCAGAGGCTGCCCCCTGGGGAGAGGGAGTGAGCGGGCACTGAGCTCGGCAATCCTAATCTTAATCTCCTGCCTCACTTGAAAAGCCCTTTCTAAGCTTCCCTGATTCACCTCTTCCCCAGGCCAGTATCTTAGCAACTCTGGGGGAGGATTCGGGAGGATGCTGGTGTGTTCCACTTCACCATTCCTTTATTCTCTCTCTCCTTCCTTCCTTCCTTCCTTCCTTCCTTCC